TGTGTGTGTGTGTGTGTGTGTGTGTGTGTGTGTGTGTATATACTGTATATACATGTATATGAAAGTGTTTGCAAATGTAGGTAGGGGTATGTTTATGTGTATATGTACAAATTTATATATGTAAATGGGTATGGTTTTCAGCAAGGCTAAAGTCATTATAATTATATAGATATGCATTTTTGTTGCTGTGGTTTCGCTATCTTTGTTTTGTAGGTGTGGAGCCAAGACGTCCGGTGTGCTGTCTTGTGTTTTCTCAACATATATTTTACATATCTTCTAATCTCTTTTTCACTCTTTCTCATTACATTTCACTTTTTTCTTTCTTCTTGTTTTTCTTCTATTAATAAAAAAAATCATAATAATGGTGTGGAGAGGATGGCTATAAGGGGAGAAGGGAGGCCATCAATAGGAAAAAAAGTAAATAAAGAAAAGCCCCTTTCATAATTTCATCCGCCATTAAACAGAGACCGGCAGAGGAAAACAACAGAGGCTCTTCCCAAACATGCGTCTATGTTCACACCGAAAGCGTCTGACCTGAAAGAACACTAGCAGCCAACTGCACGCATCAAGTGCATTTTTGATGCTCAAAATGCATTCGGTGTGATTGTAGCTTAATTTTCCCTGGTAGGTTAAACCAAGGAAGATTGGTCCTCTGTTACAAGCCAGAATAATGGCTCTTTCAGAAGAAAGCTACTGCTAAAGGCCTGAGCCAATGTTATAATAGTTTGGGATTTTTCATTATAGTTTAGTTTGTTTTCTTTGTACATTTTTCTTTTACGTCAGTTAGCAGTGATGGGCACTAGTCCCCAAAAGTGCAAATGCACTAATTGCAGACCTAAATTTCTCCTTTGTACTTTAGGGGTTTTACTAATTTCATCAAATGATGTGCAGATTTACACTTTCTAAAATTAGAATTGAGTAGTGTGGCACCTCAGAAATGTACATTTGGTATGTTATTTTCTGAATAAGAGACTGCCATCACAGGTGTATATTTAAATATATGTTTTGGGGAACCAAGATAATTTTTTTTCCATTAAGTGGGCTCAATACAGGTAGGGGAGGGTGGAACGGATGCACACAGTTGCGCCTGGACCATATAGACTGCGACACCCCGCTCTTGTGTCAGAAGACATCTGGGAAAAGAAGTGTGTGGTCCTGTCTCCATCTTTCCTGAGATTCTACCTGTGTTTTCCAGGTCAGGCGAGTGAGTAGCTCGAACCACCAACATTTTTGTTTATGTGGTACTCAATTTTTTTTGAGACCCGTAACAGATTTTGGGGAGTCGTCC